CTGTCGTAGCTGCTTAGGGCCCTGAACGTTACGCAAGGGCCCCATTCTCCCCTTGTGTTAAAGCAGGTGTCAATATGGAAACAGTTTCAATAAGAGGATGAAGCGAATCTATCTGAGAGACAGAACACCATGAGAGTGAATTGTAGGAAGAGCAATCAGGCATGTTTTCTGTTCTCCAAGTGAGATGTCAGCAAATAAGTGTAAAGATAAACAGGGTGTGGGATTTGGTGGCATCTAGTGGTGTAGTTGCAGTTCGCAACTCCTTCACATGAGTGGAGTGGTCGGAGACCAGAAAGGTGCTATACAAGTACAGTCCATTTACCATTTATATTCAGTTTGAATATAGTTATGCATATTATATTATTTTATGTTATTTTAAATAATAACTATCAAGTATTTATCCGAGCCATAGTATAAACTGTACAAAAGGAAACCTGGGGAGCCTGTTTGAATGGGCTGGATGCTTTGAGATAATGTTGTGAGACTTTAGCAGCAGCCATAGCCATAAGCCTTATGTGTACAAAGTGTAAATGTACAAAAATAATTGTGTAATATTGTAAGGACTGGACTTATTTATGTTTCTGTTGATATTTACTTATTATAATATTCTATAGACAATATTGTATTCAATAAATATTGTTTGTTTATATCACGCTGTTCTGTATAGATCTATTTATTGTTAGACCGACAGATGGAGCAAACTGTCTTTAAGGAGGGAGGATTGTAGTGGGAGCACTGGGAGGTCAGCTGTGACTGTGTGACAATGGAAAATGGTTTACATGGCTCATGGGTCAGGTCAGAGGTCCCTCAGGGAGGTCAGGACTGGCTCTGCTTATACTTTCTAACGCCTGTTTTAAAAATGGGTATACACTGAATAAAAGTTTTAGTGTTATTTCTGGTTAATTAAGTCAACAGAGAGACATCTACAAATCATAGATGAGAATTTATTTTTAGTGCATACGGTATGCAGACGGTATACATTACTTGAGGACAGAGGCGTCATACAGAGAGTGCAGTGCAGGAACAGCAATATTGAAACTGTGCACTAACAGTAACAGGATTTTTAAAAAGCTGTTAGTGCTGTGATTGTGAAACTGTAGAGAAATGCACTACTGTGACATGTAGATGATGCTGATATTCAACACCAAGGGACTTATTCCAGAAAGAGAAATAGCCACAAGTTACTTGCTTAACACCCTGTGTTAAGCAAATCTGAATTTGCAGCATCCAGCAGTGGATCTACGACACATTCAAGGATGTCTGAGATCCCCTAATCTCACTGTTAGCTACCGAGTCTGACTGAGGCAAAATTCTGAAACAGTCAAAAGGTCTGTATTTCAAAGTTCACCTGTTCTACAGAATCCGACTATTCTCCAAGCCATCCTGTAAATTCCACACTGCAGGTTTATAGTTTTATTCACCTTGCAACTCCAACAGTAGGCTTCATGACTCTTACTCTAAATTTACTCACCTACAAACGCTGGCTAAAGTTGAGTTTGGGGGACTGTAGAACAACACCGGAAGTTAACAAATGATTTAGAAGATATTTTCTTTGATAATGTATGCCACTATTCTATCCACACAGACAGCTTTACTGTCTTTAATGGCGCCACTGCCCCAGTTTATAAAGTTTATAAAGTTAAGTTATAAGTGTACAGAGGTGTGAAGAGGTGTAAAAAACAGGAACAGCTCTCTGCTGGTTGTCCTGTAAAGACTTGAATGTCTGATGTTGCAGAAACCACACCACATTACTTAACATAAAAATCTTTTTAAAAACTCAGACTTTCTGAAGTGTGCTAACTGCTAACTTCATATAGGTGTAGATGTACAGTACCTTGTACAGAGAGAAGGAAGACAACAAATCCACTCGCTGCTGCTGTTAAACTCATAGCTGCTTCTCAAGTCAAGTTCAATCAGCAGGTCGATCACATACACGAGAGATACTGTATGTCAGTTAGTCACAAGTTGACTTCCGGTTGTGTTTAACAGACATGGAGGTGTATGACCTGTCCCCGGCTTACTTCCTCTAAGTTATTTTTATGCACAAAGAGACGAATGCCGGTAAATCTTTAAGCTAAAATGAAGAAAAGACACTTTTATATCTTAAAATTCTGTGCAGGAAATATTCATTTAATGTCATTTAATTTACATGAATACAGTCGTTTACAGTTCAACAGCTTTTGTGGATGAACCTTTTCAGGTTCATCATTATTAACTGTTGTCTTGGGCAGTTATTTCAAATTGAAAAATTATTATTTTTTCTTGTATCCAAATAACCCTAACCTTTGCTTTTACCTTTTTTAAAGCTGTTTTTGACAGAAACAAAATAAAACTTACCAAAACTGTCTTTCCCTTGTTCCAACAGGGTTAGCTCCACTTTGGTTGAAATAAAACCTTTACTCCATATCTTTAGCAAATAGTTGTTTAGATAGATAGATAGATAGATAGATAGATAGATAGATAGATAGATAGATAGATAGATAGATAGATACTTTATTCATCCCCAAGGGGATCCAGCAGTATCCACAGACTGATAATAATAACAATAACAATAATAACAACAACAACAGGAGGCAAAATGCAAAAGAACCAATAAAATAAAATAATAAAATAAAATAAATAGCAAAATAACAGGTATTGGGTAAGTGTCCTAAGGTGCATGGTCAAATCCAGTGCTTGAAAGGCCTAAGGCTCTGAGGAAGTGTAATCGGCTCTGACCTCTTCTGCACAGGGCGACTGTGTTGGTAGTCCAGTCCAGCCTATCATCCAGGTGTACTCCCAGGTATTTGTAAGTCTGTACCAACTCCACACGGTCACCGTTGATGGTCACAGGTTCCGGGTGAGCCCTGGGCCTTCTGAGGTCCACCACCATCTTCTTGGTCTTGGTGGTATTGGGGCGCAGGTGGTTGGAGTCACACCATGTGACAAAGTCCTGGATGAGTTTCCTGTACTCCTCCTCCTGGTCACTCCTGATACAGCCCACGATAGCCGTGTCGTTGGCGAACTTTTGCACGTAACAGGACTCCGAGTTGTATTTGAAGTCCGACGTGTACAGGGTGAACTGGACTGGAGAGAGCACGGTCCCTTGCGGTGCTCCCGTGCTACTGACCACAGTGTCAGACCTGCAGTCCCTCAGTTGCACATACTGGGGTCTGTCTATGAGTTAGTCCGTTATCCATGCCACCAGATGTGAGTCTACTCCCATGTCTACTAGTTTGTATTCCAGAAGGCGAGGCTGGGTGGCATTGAAGGCGCTGGAGAAGTCTAGAAATGTAATTCTCACAGCACCGTTTCCCCTATTCAGGTGACAAAAGGATCTGTGCAGCAAGTACACAATGGCATCCCCTACTCCCACCTTCTCCTGGTACGCAAACTGCAGTGGGTCAAGGGTGTGGTGGACCTGTGGCCTCAGGTGGTGTAGCAGCAGCCGTTCCATGGTCTTCATCACATGTGATATCAGGGCGACCGGTCTAAAGTAATTTAGCTCACCAGGATGTGGTCTCTTTGGGATTGGGATGATGCAGGATGTCTTCCACTGTCTAAGGACCCTCCCCTGTTCCAAGCTCAGGTTGAAGATGTGCTGTAGGGGGAGTCCCAGCTCCAACGCACAGGCCTTCAGAAGTCGAGGGGATACTCCATCTGGACCTGCAGCTTTGCTGGGACGAAGCCTCCTCAGCTCTCCACACACCTGGGCGGCCGTAATAGTGGGTGGGACAACCAGCTCCTCTGTGGCTCCTGAGGGGAGCGAGAGAGAGACAGCAGCAGAAGGGGGTATGGTGACCTGAGGTGTGAACAGGATGGGGTAGTCGAACCTGCTGTTTGACACTATAATACTATTTTTAAATTTCATATACCAATATATAACCTTTAACTTACCTTTCACAGAACTTACCTGTAACCCCATTTCACTGCAGACACACGTCTCATAGAAACATGAATACATACAAATCAGTGAAGAAGGGACACAGTTTTATATACAGTAAGATTGTACAAGGACTCTTAAACAGCCCATCCATAATCCAATAATATATTATTATTAATTATGTAATAATTCTGCATAATGAGTTTACTTTTGATACACTTGTGGTATTGCTACTTTTTCTAAGTAAGTAAAAACACTGAGTACTTTTTCCACCACTGCTACGGCTGATCACTTCAGGACTTTAACATTCACTGCAGGGATGAGGGAGTGTTCACATAGCTAAAGATAAAAGATAAAGACTGACATTTTACCATCCATTACTGATTTATATAACTATGATAGTCATTAAAAACATTTTACTCCATTTAAAAAAAATAAAAAATAAAAAACAAGCCAAAATCTTTTTCCTGCAAGTTTGAAGATTTTAATTAATCTTAAAATAATATGTAAAAAAAATAATATGTTTTTGTCTGGAAAATACTGGAACATCCAGTAAAACTGAATCTTTCAAATGGTCATTGACGCTCAAAGGTAATTAACTGATGGAACAAAATCGTGCAACAATCGTGTAACCTTCTTACAGGGAAGTTGTTCTTCATCCCTTCTCAAGACAAGAACTGGCCTAATTCCTTCCTCTAAGAATAAAGCTTCTGAAGAAAAGTGTGTGAAAGAGAGAGAGAGAGACATAGAAACAGTGTGGCCCTCATCACTGTCAGCAAAACCTCTGTATCATGCAATTATGGCTTAAAACCCTCATCCCCAAACTTAAAATTGATTTGCAAACATGTGTATGCTACATAATGTCCATGTATTAAGTCTGTGTTGTACATTCTGCGTTGCAATTGCACCACTGCTACATTTTGTCTTCCCTTTTTCTCCAATAAAAGAGAGATAAAATGATGAAGGAAGATGTACAAGATGGACTCAAATTCTCTTATTATTTAGCATACAGATGTTGTTTTCCTCTTCACACAGCTACTGAATTCAAACCGACCAATCACAGCGAGGTACATGCAAATCAGAGCCCGCACGCCCCGCCCACACACGTCAAACAACCAATGGTTGTCGAGGTGGGCGGGGCCTGGAGGATAACAGCGGAGGATTCAAACTGAACATGGCTGCGGGTAAAGATGTCGATGAAAACACACACAACAGAAGGTAACTTACCGACGAACTGAGACTGACATTGACGTTGTTTTTTTTAAAATACTGTTTACGTCGACGCAGAGGTAGCGTTACTCACCGGCTGGAGCTCAACGTTAGAGATTTGAAACAGGTAAACACGCGTTGAGGAGACCGACTGACAAGGACTGTCACTTTAGCAACCGTTAGCTGACGTTAGCTGCTTAAAAGACGGCTTTTATTTTGAAAAATAAGTTACAACTTTACTTGGGATTACTCGCATGCAACGTTAGCACTGTCAGCTGTAGAGTTATATGTGTTTGGTCGAACTACACATGAGTTAGGCAGGTTAAATCAAATGTAGGTGAGCTAGTTGTGTTTAGCTCACATTGGGTTAGTGTCTGCTGCTCCTCCTCCTCCTCTTCTTCACCTGCAAACCTTTTTGTGCATGTGTGAACAATATCAGTAGCCATGCAACACATCCTGCCTTTTGATAAGGTAAGATAGACTTTATTGATCCCACACTGGGGAGTTAGATGTACATTATATACAGCTTTTTATAGACATCAGCAGCAGGTAGTGGCATGGTGTAAAAACACATAATCACACATATACAGCAGTTTAGTTGAGAGAAATATAGGCATGCATATACAGTACAAGTCTAATATTAATGATAAGTGTTTAATAAATTCTATTACTGGTATTAAATAGTGCAGAAAGATGTTTTGTTTAGCTCATAATGTTAAAGCTTTGTTGAAACGGTGAGAGACGTAGAGGCAACTCTGGTAAATGTGAGGTTGTATATGGTAAATACATAGAAAGGGGGGTGAAGATGGGGTTAAACCTATATACTGTCAATGGGTTGAACTCTGTTTATACAGCAGCTTTCATACAAACTGCTTCACATAAACTGAAAAACAACACATGAGAACAAAAATGAATAACGATAGATACAAATTTGCACTGTTCAATATAAATACAGTAGAAACAATAAAATGTAAAACATCCTAAATATTAAAGTATAAAATAAACCATTAGGGAGACAAATAAGGTAAAAACTAGTGATTAAAACCTAAAAACTAAAACTATAAGACTATAACTTTAGTGCAAAGTAAAAGCCAGATTAAGAAGATGAGGTTTTTAATTTCCTTTTTAAAAATACTTTGAGAGCTCGCCACTCTAATATCCAGAGGCAGCGAGTTAAATCAAAAGGCACTCTCACTGGTGCTCTTATGGGACACATTGGGAACATTTTAAAGATAGGCGGTGACAGACCTTTTTAGTAAAATGAAAAAGTCTCGTATGGATGAAGAAGCAAGGTCATTTAAAGCTTTGTAAACAAGTAAAATAACTTTAAAATCAATTCTTAAAGGGGCACTACAACGATTTTACACATTCTGTTCAGTTTACTTGTTAAGAGGAGTACTGCAGCCTGTTGTACAGTATAATGTCTTATGTGGCTCCCGAGGGAGCTTTCCTAAAGTCTGAGAAAATGATAGTGACAATAGGAATTTAAAGATGTATCGTGAGACAGTTTAATCGCGATACAAATATGTGATCAGATTCACTTTTACAAAGAAAAGGAAATATGTATACCTCACGAATAACAAAAGTTTCTGTAATTTTATCAAGAAAATATAAGAAAAAAAAATATTTTGTAGGTTTTTGTCTGATAAATTAAGCAGTCTTTTTCAATCATTTGTCTTCAGTCTCATTCAGGGTTATATCAGCTTTTGCTGTTACACTGTCAATGTGTACATTCAGTGTGTCCATCGCCTTATTATTGCATTAGGACATTATATGTATATCTTGTGTAGGCACATTATAATTGGTAGTCGTGTTGCTTTTTAGCATATATACAACAAAGATCCCTAATCAATAAGGTCCACTAGTTGTTGAAGCACATACAAATTACCATACTACAGCAATTAGACTTAGACCTCTCTTTATTGATCCCTTTGGGATGACTCCCTCAAGGAAATTGGATTTCCAGCAGCTTACAAAACACTTATAGAAAATAAAAGAGGTATAAAAAGATACAGTATAAGATAAACAATAAACTGTTAGATAAATATAGAAAGTAGAGATAAGAATAAAATCAAATAAAATGGATGTAGAGAACTGTATAGAGGATAAATATAGATAAATAAAGATAAATATATAGGACTGTATATGGCATGGTGTTATTATACAGTGGATAAATGACATTAGCAGAAATTAGCACTTAGTGGATTAAGTTATTGCACAAAAAAAAGAATGCATGTATGAGTAGATTGTTATTGCACACTGAGTGGCTATCACTCCTTCCCTTCTGTCCTCTTTACCCTATTTCCTCCTCCCCCCGAGTGAGGAGTTGTAGAGTATGATGGCATGAGGGACAAAGGAGTTCTTGAGTCTGTTGGTCCTGCACTTGGGAAGGAGCAGCCTTCCACTGAACAGGCTCCTCTGGTTGCTGATGACGGTGTGCAGGGGGTGGATGGCATTGTCAATAATGTCCAGCAGTTTGTCCAGTGTCCTCTCTGCCATCGTCACCGCCAATTGTCAGCTTCTAAGACTTAGACTGTGGTTTGTGCCGAATCATAACCTGTCTCTATCTCCCATACTGTCTCCCCCCTCAGAGGTACAGTGTGCAGTATGGTGATCAATCATGAGGAATCACCGGGGGGCTCTCGTGCTGGCCGACCACCAGTCATCTTCAACCCGGACTTTTTTGTGGAGAAACTCCGCCACGAGAACTCTGATGTTTTCCTGGAGCTGGTGCTTAGTAACATCACTCGCCTTATCGATCTTCCTGGGACCGAGTTTGCACAGCTCCTTGGTGAGGAGAACCCTAAGACCCCAACGGGTGGAAACGGAGGCTTCTTTCGCTCTTTCAACTTCCTCAAACGCAAAGGTTAGAAGTCCCTGCATACATCGATATTCACAGCATTCGTAAGACCGGAATCTGTCATGTCTTTCCTGTCTGTGTTGCAGAAATGGAAGAGACGTTCTCATATCGCTTATCTCATCTCTCCTGATACTTTTACAGATAAAGGCGTTGTGTTTGGAACCCCGCTGACGGAGAGCTGCATTGCCCAGATCTACCAGCTCATTGAGTACCTCACCAAAAGTGAGTCATTTAAATAAAACACAGATTCCTTAATCACAGTTGGCTTTTATCACTGTGGCTTTGAGAAGCTTGCTGAAAAAAACCCAACAACAATAAAAGTGTGTGTGTGTGTGTGTGTGTGTGGGGGGGGGGGGGGGGGGGGTGTGTGTGTGTGGGGGGGGGCGGTTGATATGAAATCCTGTTTGATGGAGTGTTTGTCCTAATTAGCTAAGATTATAAAAGAGCACATTCCAAGAAAGAGTGAGCATAATGAAAAAATGGTAAAACACGTTTTTACTTGCGTGTATCCACCTGCTCTCACGCACTCAGATCTGCACGTGGAGGGTCTGTTTCGGGTGCCGGGGAACAGCGTTCGGCAGCAGACCCTGAAGGAGCTCCTTAACAGCGGGGCCGATGTCGACCTGGAGTCTGGAGACTTTCACCCCAACGACGTGGCCACGTTGCTCAAGACTTTCTTGGGAGAGCTGCCCGAGCCTCTGCTCACACACAGACACTTCCACGCCCACCTTAAGATAGCTGGTATGAAAACGCACACCAACAAATTCTGTTGTCATTTATGTTCTCATTTTAGAGCTAACACTGGATGATACAAACATTTACAAACTTGAGTGTTTTGTCATGCTTTAGCCAAACTTTTACAGAAGCCGCAGTGTTTGCTAGACATTTTATTCTAAACATTTTTAAAAGCAGGACCCCTGAAATGTATCAGCCAAGATTTAAATGCAGATTCCACCTTTTTAAAAGCCTTTTTTGAAGTACAAGAGGAGGACTTGGAATTGCTTAACAGAAGTAGGAGTAAATCTAAATTGAGCAAGTAAATCTATTCGTGACCTTACTTCATACATCCGTGTCCCACTTCCAGATATGACTCTGTTTGACGAACACGGCAACAAGACTGCGATACCTAACAAAGAGCGTCAAATAGAGGCCCTGCAGCTTCTCTTCCTGCTGTTACCTCAGGCCAACCGCTCCCTGCTCAAACTGCTTCTGGACCTGCTCTACCACACCGCCAAGCAGCAGGACAAGAACAAGATGTCCGCCTTCAACCTGGCTCTCATGTTTGCCCCGCACGTCGTCTGGCCCAGACACGTAAGATTTGTAGTTTTGAAATACTTAATAAGGGTTTCAAGGACCAGGACCGAAAACAATTATAGATCAAGACTGCTCAATTTGGAAGCACAGTTGTTTACCACAATTATTCATCCACCTTTAGAGAAATTTCCTTTGAACTGCCACATACTTAGACATTATCCCTAAATCCACTAGTGTGTAAAATTTGATAAAAACTATTTTTTAAACTCTGCTCTGGCAGGCAGAAAACATGTAGCAACAACAAGGAACTACAGATGCTTTATTAAGAAAAAGAAATACAGATACAACACATCTATTTCTAGCTGTTGATGGAACTGAATGTTTAAGTAAGATTATTTTTCAATGTTTCTGTTTCATAGTGGAACAGGTCAAAAATGTCTGAATGCAGTTTTAAGTGACAAAATGTTTTCCTGACTCCTGTTCTGTCCTGCTCCAGATGACAGCCGGTGACCTGAAAGACAATCTGAAGAAACTGAACAACAGCATGGCCTTCCTCATCAAACACTCGCAGAAACTCTTCAGGGTGATTATTGACCTCACACACAATCAAACAGTTAGAAATGAACCTTGGTTAGTTATTCGATACGGAGACAAAGTCTGGAAAAACGTGAGAATCAGACACAGAAACAAGTTGGGCTCTAAAACATAATATGTGACTGGTGTAAAGGATGATCTGTGGATGAGTGACTGTGTGTTTGTTTAGGCTCCAGTCTACCTGCGGGATTATGCCAGGGTGCATTTCACTGGGACCAAGGCTCTGCAGATCAAGGTTAGCGGAGGGAATCCACATTCAAACACTATCTTTCCAACATGAACACACCTCAGAATGCGTCAGTGTTTTTTATTATTTTAAACCTCACACTGTTTCCATTTAAAGTATTATGGATTGTCCTCTCTTCACTCAGGATGATCTGGAGCTGCTGGCGGCGAGCAGCTCTCCTGCTCAGCGCAGAGCGTTGCCCCTGAAGAGGACGGCTGTCCTGGGCCCCAGCTCCCAGGAGCAGTGCCAATCACCGTCTCAACAATACACAGAAGAGGCTCTGAAGGAGCTCTTCAGACACGTCCACCACAACATGCCGGACTCCGCCAAGAAGAAGAAACTCGTCCGACAGGTTCACTTTTTTTACTGTCAAAACATTAAATGTAGAAACTGATGAACATCCCAAAGGAAACTCTTTCTGTTTCAGGGTTTGTGTGTTAAATGTCTTAACTATTTTTCCTATGTGCAGTTAGTTAAGCAGACAACCTCAGGGACACCTACAAAAGAGAACCAGCAGGCCCCCCCAGCTCCCGGCAAGAAACATCCCCGTTCCCGCTCCTTTGGTGGCCTCATCAAGGTACTGAACAATCCTGGAACGTCATAGTGAGGAGCAGAACAAGACCCTGACCATTTCCATATTCCACTTTCTTTAACCTAAAGAGCATGAAAGCAAGACGGTGTTGTGTCCCTATAACTCACAGTAAAAGCTCAAATCACCAATACAAACATACCAGTTCAAAAGTGGCGTCATTAAGATTCCTAATCAAATGCTCTCTGGATACTTCCAACAGGGGGTCTGACTCTGTGAACTGTGATAATGATTTTCTCCAGTTAGACATAATCATCCAGCGAATTAAACTAATCAAATCCAAATGAAAGTAAAGCTCATTTGTCAGAATAATACTGTGCAGTTCCTCTTGTTGGGTGTGTCAGCAGTTAGAAAGGTGTTTAATATCTTTGAACATGTAGAATTCCTGTGATGTCTCGTTGGTAAACAGGAGGATTTTTGCTGGCAAATTCTGACTTGTCACTGAAACTTAACTAACTTGTTTTTCCCCACCTGATGTCGCGATAACAGCGCAGAGCTCGTGGTGAGCAGCTGACAGCAGAGAGGCGGGTTAGGCACATCTCCCCCGATGCTGTCACCAGGACAGGAAGAAAACCTGGTAAAGAGAACGTCATCCTGCAGGCGGTGAGCCTTTCTCCTTTTCTACTCTTTACCACAGTTAGGCTGAGAATATCTAAAGCACTTCTTGTACCATGTGTTCATAGGGACTACACATTTTTGTCAGCTTCGTATTATCTTTGTTTTCTTTCTCTGTTAGAAGAAAAGTAAATATGAGTCAATCTGCCACAAATTCTGCAGGTTTCAATTTCATCTCGCTATCAAAAATACTAACATTATTGTGTTGTTGTTGTTGTTGTGTGTTTGTGTGGGCAGGTTAACAGCCCATTAAACGGTCCTGTGCTGGGGAAGGCGGGGCTGGTAGTAAAAAACCCAGACTTTGCTTTCAGTAAGGACAAAGCTCTGAAGGTCTCCAAGGTATGACACAGTTTCCCTCTGGTCAGACACTGTCCAGCCGATGTGTAAAAACAGGCTTTTACCCTGCAGTATTCATAGTTCTGTAAATTCTCTTTTTCCAAGCAAACCAGGGCATGAAAACTGAATCTACACTGGCTCAGAAGTAACTATCATCCATCCATCCATCCATCCACCTCTTTTTCTCCCCTCCATTCGTCTCTCAGCAGGACTCTCCCTCCGTGGCCAGGATGTGTTTCTCTCCCGCTCAGCAGATGTCAGTTTAAAACCCGACAACTCCTCCTCATCTCGGACAGGACTCGGGCAGTATTATTGTTACTATTCCTCTTGTTTGTCATCCTGTTGTCATCGTAGTGAGTCTGTTTTAACTGTGACTAATATATAGCAGCCTAAGTCTGGTCGCAACAGCCAAACCAAAGCCAGGAACTCTTCTCTTCACTGCCGGACATTCATCTAGAGTTGCTTCAATGGGATGCAATTAATCTACTTTCAATAGTATAAAACAGTTATGACCTCAGTTATAAGTGTGATATCTGATGACAGATTTATACTTCCAGAAATACTTTTAAAAAAATCCTTTCAGCTCCCTTCAATGATTTTACTTCTTTTAGCATTCAGATAACAGAATAGTGGACGATTCACAATTCAGTAAAGAAATAACATGAATATGAATGAATATTAGATTATTGGTCAGCCACACTTTTAACTGAATATAAGACATTTAGTTTATGAGAAATAGAATTCTTTGATTCTATTTTTTCAAATGTTTATACCACATAATCAAGTTTTATTTGGGAATCTTTCTGTTATCAGAGTAGGTTTGTATCTGGCTCATTTCTAATTAAGTGAGACTTTTTATTCCTTTTTTTGAGATGGGATTGCATGTTGATCTGATCAATAATCAGTCATAATAACTTTATATATAATAACCTCAATATTACCATGCCAGAAAGATCATGTCTTAAAATGTTCTAAACTATTCACACATAAGCATTAAAGCTCCTCACAGTGCACGGCGCACTGTTTCTGAGTAAAGCCTTTATTAGCTCTACGTGAATGAACAGTATGCAGGGTCTTTGCTTTGGTTCGGCTTCTCTGCCTCAGATTACACCAGTTATCACTTGAAACTCGTTTTTATTAGCTACTGTATCAGAATCTATGACCACTAGCAGGCTGAGCTAACTCTGCTGTAGAGTGTAGAATATGTATACATGTTGTACAGTGTGTGTGTGTGTGTGTGTGTGTGTGTGTGTGTTGGGTTTTTGGTACGATATGTTGTAACTCTTTGGTTACTGGATGATGATTTGTCGGTATGGTGCTGCAGATGCAGAATCGGTGAGCAGGTCACTTTATTTTTCAAACGTTTCCTCCCGGAATGAAACCCAGGATTTAATTCATGATCACCTTTTTATTCCTCTTACAGGCTCGTTAATTCTGAAAACAGTGACTGTTCGTGAATCTGTCAAATATGAAATGTTACGTTCTCATGGGACTTTATTTTTTAAAAACATTTTACTTATTTTTTTAAACTTTTTCTTCAGCTGCATGATGGAAGGTCCATTTGTTTTACTTATATGGAAAGTGGTTGAGAGATTGGTTACATTGATGGTTTCACCGAAAGTGTTTTTTGTATGAGTTTCCTCTGGTTGAAAGGAGCAGTGATCTGTTACAGTCAGGTCCTCTCTTCTTAACATGGTGTGTGTTGGGTTTCTGAGGAGCACTGTGTTAGGAAGACGATGAGTAAAGTAAGAGAGGAACTTGGTTGGACATCAGACGGTGTCGCCTGTTTCAGCACATTATGCTAAAACACAAGCCTGTTACAGTTATTAATGTTGAACTGAATGTGTGCCATCCCAATTGTTAATTTAAACGGCTAATATGAAAATTATTATAGGATAATTGTGAATCAGATCCATATGAATCTTACAGAGAAGGAGTAAACAATGGCAGTTTTTAATTCTTGATAATTTCCTTTAACTGCTGGTATGTTAAAATACATATTCCTCATGTGATATTCTACAATTCAAACAACACGGCTGCGTTGTCGGTTTATTGTTTGCAGAAACTAAAAACGTTACCTAATGTCTTTAAATATCTGGGATTATTTTTCATGTGCAGCTCTCCGTTCCTCCAGCTTTACTCTTCGTGGCTCGGCTTAACTGACTGTCTGCTCGCTTTGTTGAGTAGTGAGTACAGATGCACCAGTTCCAGATTTTCAGCACTGGGGACTAAATTTTCCTCGATGGAGATGCTCTGCCCTGCTCGGGACCCCTCGGCAGGAGAGACGCTCCATGACATGAGCCTGAACCCGAACTGGCTCTGTATTGATTTGTTTTTGTAGAATTTGAAAATGATGATGGAGAAATCTTCCTGTCCATGTGTTAGGAATCTGTTATTGGTGCATCCTGTTTTTGAAAGTGTTGTGGATGTTGAAATGAGCGGTTTGTTGAAAGTGATTGAACATGACCTGACATGCCAGGTGCAGATGGACACTAAAAGACCTTTCTTCTTCTTCTTCGTTTTACAGTGTATTGTAATATTGTGCAATGGTCTACCTGTTGGTCAGTTTAAAATGAACCAGACTGAATTCATCCCCTTTTGAAACTGAATTGGGATTCTGTGTTTTTTGTTTTGTTTTTCTCTTCTCATGACTTCTCCCTATCCTTTCAGCTCTCTATAGACTGCAGTTTTACAGGAGAGAGCTGAATTGGATTCTGTTGTATTTATTGACTACTGATGGAAACAAATGTCTTATGTGGATGGAATTTATAAACCAGATTTTAGGTACTTATTTTGTTGTTGCTTTCCCCTTTTTCCAATTATACTTGAGCCACCCAGATGCGAGCAGTTACATTCTGTGAAATACTGTTTTATGTTTGAAACACAAAAAGCCTCTCAGAGCCTGTTTGAAGTCTGTCAGTGTTTTTCTCTTTACGTAAATGTGAAACATTTAGTTACTGATCTCTGCATGCTGTACATGGTCGCTGATGAGTTCCTCCGTACGCTGTCGGAACAGCAGGGTTGGGGCCTTTTTAAAGTTCACCTGAATGGTTACTTGCACCGTATCTCTCTGTTGAATGAGGGTCAGTGTGGAGGAACATCACTTTTAAGTTTTATTAAGTTAAAGGTGATCGATCTCTCATTTGTCCACGTGTCATGATGAACTCATCAGTGACTGTTGTACCTTCTGGTTTAAACTGTGGTAACCTTTTGTTTTTTTTTGTATTTTAGTGTAAAATAAGTTAACCCTGTACATTGGATTCCTTGGCGAACCGTCCGCTTTGGATTAAAACCTTTTTATGTTTCCTACAAAAAAAAATGTTGTGTTTGAATTCATTTTTCAATGTTCCTCTGTCGTTCCACTGCAGTAGACAGTTAATGAGGAATTAACTGCCCATCAGCAACCGTACACTGGAACAGATTGCACCTGAGACGAGGCTTTACATCAACGCGGTGCTTCTGTTTGCCCACTAGAGGGGGTTATCGGATAAACATGGAGGTGTAACTCTGAGGGAAAATATCACGAAGGCCAAGTCTGTGTTGTTAGTTTGTTGACTGTATAATATACTACTAATACTAATAGTTTGTTGTGTTATACAAGCCCTCAAGAGCCATTATCAGTTTTATATCAGTTAAACTGTAGCTGGGCTTTTAAACATTTTATTTCTTTATCTATTGAGTAAGTATAAGATAAGATGTACCTTTAATGATCCCCGTAGTACAATAAGATATCACAAAATAAGAATATTATAAAATATAATATAAGAAAAGTATATACACTATATGTAATATGCAAGTAAAAATGGTGTGCAAATATTTGAGCAGCTTTGACTAAAAAACTAAACGACGTGCAACTTAAATAAATAAAGCTCCAAACCTACTTCTGCTTAAAAAAAGGCAGAACAATGATGGTGAGCAAGGTTTTAGTTAATGAACTATACCCAACTATAACAACGTTGAAATGAAATCTGATTTGACAGGTTCCTTGATTAGACCTGGGCATTCGGTGTCCCCCTGCAGTGAAAGCTATTTTAAAGGGCCAGTGTGTAGTGTCTACAGTCAGTGTTTGGTTCGTCCGTTCTCGGTGGAAACATGGTTCAACATGATGAAAGGCCACCAGCGGCGTCTGGGGATAACAACAACTCATTCTATGAGAACAAAAGCACAACAATTCTTATTTACAGGTGATTGTACACTAATGAAAACATAGCTATGAATATTATATTCCATTCCAGCCAATAGATCCTCCTCACTGTTACACACTGGACCTTTTAATGCTTTTATTCAGGTCAAATCTGTTGCTTCATAAAACATATTTCTGATTGAAGCTGATATTATAAAAGAGTAACTGCACTTCAGACTTATTGCTTCCCTCATAGTATAATGCAGAAAATATACTGTATATTTTGGTAAAACTAAAATGCTGATGTGGTTTTACACTAAAAGAACATTTGGAGGTAAACCTTTATGAGTCAGATAGGGACATTAAACAACCAGTGTGAAGGATTCAGTGGCATCTAGCAGGGACGTTGCAGATTGCTGTTCTTGTTAAGATCAATGAAGTTCTATTTCAGAATCAGAATCAGAAATACTTTATTGATCGGGGGGTGGGGCTGGATGTGTCTGTGACGGTTGCTCAAGGTGCTCACACAATGTTTAAGAATAGAAATAATAATTATATTACAATATCAGCAGCGGTCTAAAAACCACTACTCTCTCAGGTGAGACGATGAAAAGCAGCAAATTGTCACAATGGAGAATCTTAACCTAGGTAATGGATGGTGTATTTGATATCAAATGGATCAATCGACTGATCGTTGTAGCTGTTTGTTTAAATTAATATTAATGAGTAAATTAAGATGTCATGCTAGTACATTATAATACTATCCCTCTCACCTGCACTAAATACAGATGGAGGTGTGAATATTGCTTTGTATCGTAATAGTCACATCAGGAGGGCAGTTGTCATCCATTCAATCTGGTGTTTTAAATGATCAGATTAACCACATTGTGTGTATTTATTGGCACTGCTAATGCTGTCGAACACAAGTCTTCTCCCGTCAGTGGGATTAGAAGTTTCTGTGCCAAATAATGTGAAACGCGGGGACTTTTCTGGAGGCTTTGTGAATTGATGCGTTTGAGACAAAAGCATCTGTTCCGTCCTTCCAGAAATCAATTCAGACGCGTCTGGAGTAAAAGCCCCCCATCCTCCCCACCCACCCCTGCCTCAGAAAGCTATTATGGCCCCAGAAATAAGGGGGTCCTCCCCCCCGGAGATGTCAACATCTCGTCCCTCCCTTTGTTGCAGATTATCGCCGAATGAGTCATTCAATTCAGCTGCAGACGGGCTCTGCCTGTGGCCAATTTGTTTTCCATCACTTCTGAAGAGCGGCTGGTTAAATTAACCCGTCATACTGAGTCTGCAGGGAGAAGACAAAGTGAGGCCACGGGCAATAATCACTCATGTATGGTGGTAAATAAAAAGCTGGGTAAACTCTGCCCTCCGGTTGCTCATCGTCATACTGCAAACAAACGCCAAACCCAATCTGTTACTCAGAGAAAATCAAATTATGCCCCACCTAACCTCATCATATATTGTACAAGTCACTGAGGATGTAGTGATGGATATGACGGTGGCCACAAACAAAACAAAAAGATCAAAGAAACAAAGAGTCCATCGTTGATTTTCGCCTTTTTCCGTCTTGCAAAGAACCTTGAACACCCTGATGTATCAGACAGCCGGAAGGTTCGTAGATTTAGTCGGGTTCAGTTTCTTAAATTGGATTATTTGCTGCTTTTCTCCGTTTTATATCGATGTGAGTTAAATATCTTTGGATTATTGGTTCACTTGAAGGTATCTCTTTGAGCTCTGGCGATATGGGGTAGTCAGTTTTCATTATTTTCTGACAATGTATGTCTTAACCAGTAATGGATTCATTGAAAACAAACCTCACAGATGTAGAAATAAAACATTGTTTCTTGTTGCAGCTTATAGTTTTCGTTTTTTTGTCCCCCAAAAAAGGCAGAGAAGCGTTTTGGTGACAGATTTAGGTTTGGTGGCTTTACCCTCCATCCTCCTGATTCAGATTTTTTTCCTTTCCTTTCCTTTCCTTTCCTTTCCTTGGTAATATGGCAATCACAAAAGCTGAAACCAGCGTTTCTCTGGAGATTAAAACTCAGCCAGGCTCCATTTGAATTTCAGAGCCTTGCCAGTGAATTCATAAAAGACTTCTGAGTAAGCTCTGTGGCAGCCTATGGCATTCCAGTTATGCCAGTCTCACAAGAAACCCCCCCCACCCCACCCCACCCCACCCCACCCCAACCAACCCAAGTTCCTGCAGCCCGGTGTGCTGAGCTGTGGCAAAAAAATATGATCACATCTAACACACAGCAGCTCCCCTGCTTCTTTCCTTTCACATTCACTGATGTTTCTCTCCACAAATTGTTTCTCCTTCTCTGCCCTCACATTCTCACTGGAGCTTCCCTGTCGGATGCTTCAGTGTGATCACGATTTCCTCTCCTTTCCTCTCTCCCTCTCTCTCTCTCTCTCTCTCTCTCTCTTCTCATCATGTCCATGCAGCCTTGGGCTCTTTTCTTCCCCCTAGGGAGGAGAGCGCATGTGGGCGAGAGAGACAGACAGATAAAGGGAGAGGGAATGAGAGAGAGAAAAAGGCTGCCGTCACTGGAGGTGGCGGCTCCCGCTACTGCTGTCACTGAATAGATGTGAGTTCACTCTGGGTGCTGCTGTGTGTGTATGTGTGTGTGTGTGTACATGTATGTGTGTGACTGGGGGGGTGGCGTGGGAGGAGTCTCTGTGCTGTTATTTGTAAAGGCTTTTGATAGATGATTGCTCTCTGTGTGTGTGTGTGAGATAGAGGGAGTGAGGGAGTCCCCCCCTTTCTTTTTTTTCTAGTGGCTCACTGTTCAGTGCACAATGACTCAATGAAAAGTGGAGGGGAGAGGCAAACACACTGTACGGCTGCACAGGAGAGAGAGAGAGAGAGAGAGAGAGAGAGAGAGAGAGAGAGAGCAGAGAACACACAGGAGAGTAGAAGAAGAGAAGCCAATTGGAGGGAGCTCTAAAGCCGGGGACAAGAAGAAGAAGAAGAAGAGGATATACTTGTCTTATTTGCCCTCCTCTCTTGCTCACTCTGAAAGGCCACTTTGGGATCAAGTGGCAGCTGTTCAGTCTGAGCTGAACTTCACCTGGCTGTGCTGCTGTCTGTCTCAGCCTCCTCAAGCTTTTTACCCATTGCACCCTCGCACTACAGCGTTCTCATCCACTTTTGGAAGAGGTTGTAGTGGTGTCGCTGGTGGTGGTCAGTCCTGCCCGGGAGAAGGAAGGTAAAGGAAGGGATAGGATCTGTCGGCTGTTTCTGCAGTGTGGTGGAGTGCTGCAGGAGAGCAGGATGCCTGCTGGGAGAAGCGGGGATGGAGCTGGGTCAGGAGGCTGCGGGATGGCGGCGGCCCCAGGCCGGGCTTTTCGGTCTGGGCTGCGGAAGATGCTGGCGTGGGGCGTCCTGGTGCTGGTGGCAGGATGGGGAGGTGTGGATGCGTGCCCCACTCCCTGCAACTGCCTGGGGAACACGGTGGACTGCCATGGCCTGGGGATCCACTCCGTACCCAAAAACATTCCCAGGGGCACTGAGAGGCTGTGAGTAGTCATACACCGACCACGTGTGTATTCATATTTTTCTATACTTCCGAGGGCCAAATAATCACAGATGGATAGATGAGGGGAATCCTTCAAAGTGACGGCATGTTGCTGCTCTTCACTGCAAGGAGCAATCTGGACCAGGGTTTAGGTTTACAGGGTAGGGTATGAAGGTCCTCACAAGTATAGTCAAACATATATGCATTTATTTGTCTCACACACAAGTTTTACACACATCCTGCCTATACAGTTGGAAAAAGAGAAAGGTGTGGGATGTGTGTGTGTGTGTGTGTGTGTGTGTGTGTGTGTGTGTGTGTGTGTGTGTCATTCCCGGTTTGTTGCAGTGTCTCTTCTCTCGTGCTCCTTCCAGCTCTCGTTACCAGTCGTCTGTTTAACTTCATATCACACACACAAGCATGCACGTACACACACACACACACACACACACACACACACACACACACACACACACACATTTTGACTCTCCACCTGACTCCCAGGATTCAGAATGCTGGTCTGCGGCATCGTTGCTCTTTCCTGCAATCTTTTCTTTTCTTATTCCATTCTCTGTATCTTGTTTCAGATCATACAGTGTAACTGCACAAGGTTCAGAAAAGTCTAATACAATCTTGTTTTATTGGTGCATGTTGTTCCTCTTAAGTTGCTACTCTGCTTGTAATACATGTACATTTTTAAAGTAAAATGGAGAAAAAATTAAGAAAGTGTGCTTCTGATGTACCTGACTACACAATGTATTGTGTGTTACATTTATCTGTGCATCCAATTGAGACCATCAGATCACCAGAGAGGGAACCAAGCTATCACTGACAACATTCAGAGGTCTGATTCGTCTTTACACTGTGGTTCTACATTCAAAAGGTTGATGGCATCATTTTAAAGTTCAAATATTAAGCTAGCTGACAACTACACACTGTATTCTGAGACACTGCAGACCTACATTTTCATGCCTCTTTGAGGAATGACACATGTCGCTGTAATTAAGTCAGATTTTCTAACTTTGAAAGACCGTCATGGCTGCCCTACTGATCTAATTTTGATGAGACTTCCAGGAATGATACATCTTGTCACTGACTGGCACACTGAAACAAGCGCTTGGATCATATTAGCACATGTACCAGCTGTTATTTCCAACCTACTTTGACTGTTTCTGGTTCAGTTGGTGGTTTCCTATATTTCCCAGAGTGCCCAGAGAAGTGGTGTGAACAAACCAAATTTTCCAGTTAAAAAAAGGTGATGGTCATACCTCTCCTCTCAAAAAGCTTTTGATAATGTTGCTGCACTGCCTTCTGGTCCGCTGATAATACCGTTGGTGGCTTAATTGGTCTCTCTGCCTGTTCTGCACAAACACTCTCCTTGCATGAATGTTGGTGTAAATTGGCATTTCTAGAAATGATCCCGGTGCTATAAAGCTGAGTGAAAAATCAGGTCTTATGTCATCGTTTAACCGTTTATCGGTAAACTATGGCGAATATCTTTGACCAGTTACGCATGTTGGTCTATAGGTTGATTTGTATACACACTCCGCTGTACCGCATTAAGAACAAGCACCTGGCTGCCAGGTCTGAGGATGGCTCCAGCCAAAGATCACATAGCTGCCATCCGGGGTCCAATACGCTTCCTGTCGTATCGTTAGAGGGAGCGGGATTCAAAGAGCTAATGTTTGATCGGTACCTATGTCATTCCATCAAGAGCTACTGTCTGTAACTTAAACACATTGGAAAACATTTTGAGGAGAGGAAGGATGAGCTAAAAGTCGAGCTAGCCCTGGCCACCAATTACAGGACAGTGACAGTTCTCACTAATGCCAGCTTCATTACAACTAACTTGGTGTCACTTAGTTAATGCTGACTGGGCGGTCCAGTGTGGTCCTCACTCAGAGCCTCTTTGTCCGGCACACATCGGACAACCTCGCACAGGTTTGCACAGGTCATTTTGTGTATTTTCTTTAAAATGAACCGCTCATTCAAAAGCCAAATTAATCAGAAGTGACATCCCTAATAAGGTGGTGACATCAGGTCAGCTATGTACCGTTTTTGCAAGTTATTCACAAAATAATGAAGATGCACCCATAAATGCAAGGTACGTGACAGGTTCACCTTTAGAAACTCTGATCTTCTAACCTAAAAAAAATACCTGAAGAACATTACAGTGTAGACTGTGCATATATAAAGAAGGTAAACACTGTTTCTGTTTCTGTCCCTCTCTATATATACTGTATATACTGTATGTACTGTATGGGGCTCTCAGTACAGAGTGAACATGTATGTGTTTGTACATGGTAAGTGTGTGTGTGTTTATTTCAGGTTCTAGAGTGCCTGTGTGTGAATAATTGATGATTGTCAGGGGTGCCAGCAGAGATACATTATCCTTCCTCCTCTCTGGTTTACTGTAGCGTGGAGGATGTTTTCCCCTCTGAAGCTGATAGCTTTATGATCGGGGATGAGGGCTTGGGCCCCCTGGTCAAAGAGAAATGGCCTGGAAAAAGCTCTGAGCCTGCAGACCCACTTGCCTGTTTGTCATTTTCCATTGCTGAGATGGTTCCTCTGCTAAAGGTTTTCTTCTTGCTGTACTGAGTAACAGTAACTGTCAGAGGAGAAACTGAAAAACACTTGTTTGAGCATCTATTGTGTCACCTGCAGACTTTTGTCTTATTGGCATAAATGAGGGCACAGTTTCAGTCAAAAGGTGTAATTTGCGTTATGAAAGTTAAAACTAATTCATAACATTTGACACTTTACTGGCCCGATCCAACAGAATGAGTTCAGACCAGCAACAGACAAAAATTAGCGTCGACAGCAATTTGTCATTTTATCACAAAGACAACTGATTCTGCGATCAGTCGAGGCCCAAATGGAAAGACTTGAATGCTGGAATTGTATCGCCTTCTCGCTTCCAGTTTGACAACGGTAACTGTTCAGACGACACTGTTGGTGACATTCATGATCCTGGAAGTCTGTCACTGTCCCCTCCTGCTGGTTCACCTTTGAGCATCACACAGGTCGTTAAAAACCACAAGGAAGGATCGGGCTTTGGTTCATCGTATGGTCTTACATGTCTCTGAGGAAATCATGGCAGTAATGCTGGTCGCCTTGATCAGATTAACAGTTGACCAAAGTGAAGGACATACTGTACATGTTGTATCGACCCGGCGTTATTATTGGATCACACGTGTTTTTGGCTATATTGGTACAAAACACAAAAAATAACGAAATAAACTAATAAATACCTGAGTGCATTCTTTAAAAGTTACATTTGTTCCCAAATTAGTAAAAACAACAATTTCTGGGTTTTCCATTTCTGCACATTGTACAAACAAATGTGACCGTTTTGGATGGTATCTGATATCTGTACTTGACAAACAGAAATGAAATTGATATTGATCTGGATGGATGGCGGTTTCTTTAAGAATTCAGTGTACATTTTTATTGATATACAAATCACAGTTTGCTGAAAGTGATTGTTAACTGATCGCCGAGTGAAACAGCCGCGACGTCATCTTCAACACGTCACAAACAGAAAGATGCAGGATGTCCGGTGTCGACGATTCTCTCAAACCAGTTGCTGGTCTGCTGTGTTTCAACTCCACCGTTTAGTACTAGCGAGGTGATACCAAATAAAGTATTAGCTGCTGTTTTTTTCCAATGGAAAACCAAAAAAGAACAGTTCCAAGTCTAGCTGAGCTGTACCATGCAGTGGAAATGGGGAAATATATTCAGGCATGTTTGGTTTTAGTCATGGTCATGAAAATTGAAAAATCACTTTTAAAAAACTGAACAGCAGCGTGTCTGTCCAGAATCAATGTCTCGTCATCTGAATAATCTATGGTAGTTTTCCAACAGACAATTTCTTTGGCAGAAAATAGAAAAAAACTCAGAGTGAGATCTGTGAACTCTCCAGAGTAACAGAGACATTGCCTCTGGAAAGACGGTTTGCTGTTCTTTCAGTGCTTTGACAACCACAGTTCTATTTAACCCCATTGTATTGGGATGACCTCAGGAATTTCAGTCATCTCAAAACCTCCATATGTATTTTTGTGATTTGTGTGAACTGCCCCTTAAAAAAACAACACCTTCACAAGAGAATGACCATTTGCTCCGTGCATGTAAACACAGCCGGTGTGTCCTCCTGAAACCTTTCCTCTTCCCAGAGCTCTAGCGGTCGACCATCCTGCAGACTCAGACAGGCCATGCCCTGCAGTGGAGAGGAGTAACTCATTAAACAGCTATTTGTCAAAGGGCTTGTCGCCCAATTAGCATGTAAAGTGATCTGAGTGTGTGTGTGTCAGCTGGACAGCGAGCCACTGGAGGAGAGAGAGTTCATGGTGTGTGTGTGTGTGTGTGTGTGTGTGTGTGTGTGTGTGTGTGTGTGTGTGTGTGTGTGTACAGTATTCCCTGGGAGACAGGCGGCAATAAGAGGGTCATTTATCAAGGTGACTGCTCCAGCCAAACTAAACACCCCCTCCTCGTTGGATTGTCATGGCAACGCTGAAAAATGGATGCCCCTCTGGGCCCTGATGAGCATAGTTATTTGAGCTGAGAAAAGAGGAAAGTATGTGAGAAAGACAGAGAGAGAGAATGTCTGTGAATACGCTTTAGTGTTAGAAAAGGATGGATTTAGAATTTAAGTGTTACCTTTTTTACTTTTAGTGGAGATCTTTTGAGAAAAGAAGATCAGTTTAAGCTGGTTTTTCACTCAGATGTTCCCACTCATCAAAAACGTCGTAATATTTCCTGCTCCAGTAACCCAAGTTTAGAGTGCTGTAGACGCTCTTTCAACAAGGGCAGCTTGGTATAAATATCCCAAAAATGGAGAGCTGTTGATAATGCATAGTGTGCATAATAAGTATAAGTAAAAAATCAGCCAAACAAAACTTTGCTGCAGGTATCTCAAATGGACAGAGTTTGACACTGAAGGAACGAACCCAACGCAAAACCAGGAAGAGGGAATCTTTAAACAAATCCAAAGGACAGAGAGTGTGA